GGGTTCGCGGGAGTGCCAGAGTGGTCTCTGCGGAAGCTTGCACAGGCCAAAAAGTGGCCGGTCTCGGTCCAGGAGGCAGGACACGAGGAAGACGACCGCCTAGCGATAGTTTGTTTGCTGTCGCTCGACCCTTCGTTGGTCAAGGAAGAAGTGGTCGGCCGCTTGCTGAGCCGCCAAGAGGCCGCTCCCTGGTCGATCGACACGGGCATCGACTTGGAGGAGCTCGTGCGGGACACCATGCTGGCCGCAGATCAGGAGCAGGCGCTCAAGCATCTGGCGAACAAAAAGGCCGGTCAGGCGTCGGCCAAGGACGTGCGGAAGAGGGCCTCTCACACCTACGAGCACGTGGCCAAAACGTTCGCTGGTCGGCCGGAGTACAAGAAGTTCCAGGCCCAGCGAAAGGAGAAGGAGAAGAAGGCCGTTCAGGAGCAGAAAGCACGGGCGGCCGAGGCGAAGAGGGTCTACGACGACGTGAACGTGGACGTCGACCGGGTCCACAAGGCTGCCGTGCCGCCGGGCGTTCGTGTGTACACCGACGACCGGAACGGCCGATGGAGCCTCACGTACAGCACGGCCTGGGCCTTCGCCACCAGAAGCATTTCCTGGACTCAGGTCGGCAGCAAGCCGGCCGGGCGGGCTGCGGTTGAGCAAAGCTGGGACTGGGCGGAGACGTTCGCGGGCCTCGCCATGTCGGACGAGGCCGCAACGATCCTGAAGAAGTTGTCGGCCTGAGTGCTCCTGGTCGTTCCTGGAAGCTTTCACGGTGGACGTCCCTTCTTTTGCTGGAAGTTCGGAAGCAGTCACTCGAACGAGCTCCGTGCTTCGAAAAGGTTGCAGCTGCAGACCACCAGTTTCAGTGCATAAGCAGCTTTCGTTTGAGCACTGTGCTTTCGAACTCAATAGCAGAACCTGTCGCCTTGCTTCGCCCAGGTCAACAGCAGGCCGTCTTCAAGCTCGTCCTCCAGCGTCGGCGTGAAGCAGGCTCCTATACGGCATGATTGGTCTGCAGTGCAGTGCCGGTGATGCGTAGTCTTCCTGCTGTTGGGCTGTGCACTTGAGAAGACTCCACTCTGTGGCTTAGAGCGATGCACAAGCTAGCGATCCCTTTGTAGGTAGTCTGGTTTCCTCGTGCGACTAGAGGAGATGAAGCAGTCAGGTCGTGCTGGTGGTACTAGCAGTGGTGCAGTAGTCGCAGGAGTCTTGCTAGTGCTACTAGTATCTGTAGAGGTCCAAGTCCCAGTCATCTTGATTTTACTACTAGTCCTGGAGTCCTCCTCGCACCCGAAGTTTTCGCAGTAGACGTCACAGTAATAGTCCTTGTCCTGCTGTCGCGTTCCTCCTGGGTCGTTCGTCCTTCGTGCTTAGTCGTTCGTCGCCGTCGCAGTCGCCATGCCCCGGCCATCCTTGACGGAGACGGGAGGCGTTCGGAGAGCCAGTGCCTGGAGTCTCTTCAACTCCTGGGTCTCTCGCGAAGGTCTGTCAGAAAAACAGGCGGCCCGGTTTCGCATCCGTGGCAAGCGGATGCTGCGGACGGCATCCGCCATGAAGGTCAAGTGGCTGCTCGGACCTGTATTTTTTAGCTTTGAGGAAAGTAGAAGACATGGCTTCCCTAATTTAAGTTATAAGTCTTTTGGGAATTTATTCTCCCTTGCCCAGAACAGCAAAGCCTTCAGACGTGACCCCGAAGGCCTTACTCACTAAAGGGTTGTCATACTGTAATAGTAAATACTGTGAAGTCGTAGCCCTAAACGTCAACCCATCCTTGAATACCCTTTCTAAGCCTGGAGGTGCGTTTCAGCTTTTTTGAGGTGCGTTTCAGGTGCTTTTCAGCTTTTTTCCAAGGTTTTTGATTGTTTTTTTCCTTTCAGGTCCGGTTTTGGAATAATTCACATTTTCATGTCAGCGGAACCCCGAATGCCAGCAATACTAGAGCATTCCAATCACTGTAACTAAGTTGAAGTCGCAGCCCTAAACCTGGAACCCATCCCTAATTACGGGGCTTGTAGGCTTGTAGGTGCGTTTTTGAGGTGCTTTGCTTTAGGTTTTTAGAGTTTTGTTTCAGGGCCTGCAAAACAGAAGCTGTGCTGCACTGAGGAACCACAAGAAGAGCAAGGACATTCGCGAGCAGTTCGGGGCGATGGCAAAGGCGGCCTACGAGGACAACCGCCAAAGGGCAGAGGCTTTCAAGACTGCCCGGAGCAAAGACTCTGTCTTGTTCGACGAACAGCAGGTGGATCGTGCCCAAGACGAGGATGCGGAGGCCATAGCCGTTCGAGTGCAGGAGGACATCGAGGCCGATTGTGCTAGGAGGGACGTTCTCGAGGACTCCTGGACCTGGACGTTGGGCGTGCCTTTTCGCGACTTGGTCGAGGTGGGCAGTGGGGTCGACGGACAGGTCTTTCGGGCCTCGTTCCAAGGACAGTCGTTGGCCTTGAAGCTGGCCAAGGGTCGCGGGCTGCAGGACCCGATGCAGCGGGCGGCCGCAGGTGGCCTCGACGTCGCGGAGGAGTTCGCCGTTCTCGGGGCGCTTGGCCAGCACCCGAACGTCGTTCGAGCCTTCGCCGTTCTCAGCAGTTCGCTCGGAAGGCCAGCTCTGGTCCTCGAGTGGGCAACGGAGAGCCTGCAGCAAATGGCTCGCAGGCTGAAGGACGACCGCCTGGAGACCTCGCCGGCCGGGCGAAGGTCGCTGCTCAACCTCTTTCAGCAGTTCGTTGTCGGCCTCTCCTACGTGCACAGCCGCTCGTTCCTGCATTTGGACGTCAAGCCCACGAACATCCTGGTCTTCGATGGCGTTCGTGCAGCAGTTGCAGATTTCGGCCACTCGGAGCACGTTTCGGACACTGGCTGCACGGTGATCGGCAATCGGGTCTACACCGAGGCCTTTCGCTGTGCGGAGTGCCTCATGGCGGCCGATCGGAAGGCCGGATTTCTAAAACCTATAAGCTAAACCTAATAGGACCCTTTAACCCGTAGTAGCGGTAGCAAGTGTGCAGGAGTTTTGGTCTCAAGTGTGACTTTTGTTTGGTGAGTTTGTAAATGTACAGCAAGCAGTAACCTTTGCCTCTGTCGTTCTAATTCTGCACCGCCCTAGCAGCCCCAGCCTCGAAGACTCTACCCTGCCAGGTACGTGTGACGTTCGCCGGCGACGTTTGGGCGGCCGCTGTCTCGTTGTTCGAGATCTGTTGCCCCAAAAAGGCCTCGCTGTGGACAATCCCACCTGCGACGTTCCTCCGGGACACCGAGGAGCAGACGGCCAAGGCCATTCGGGAGATGGCCCTCGCTAAGAGCTCCAAGGTCATGCCGTACGATGAGGTCGTTTTGGAGGTCCTGAAGCAGACCTTCGTGCCGGCCAATCGACGGCTAGCTTTGCCAGGCCTGCTGAAGATCATCCAAAAAGCCGTTCGGTCAGCACGACCCCCGTGCCGTCTCGACTGAGACTGGCAGTTTTCAGCGAAGGCTCTCTTTAGGTTTGCCGCCAGGACCGCGGCCGGCCTTGCATCTCGCCCAGACCACGTCGTTCAGAGAAGCAGAAAAATTTGCAGCTCTTGCTCTCATGATGCAGTTGTTGGTTTTGTGTTGTAGGCCTGCACAGGACACCCAGCACATGTCTGCTACCTTCTCTCTTGCCCCCCCGCAACCCTGCCCGTTTTCGGCCGCAGCCTGTGCCAGGTGCTGGATCTTGCGGGCGATCGGCTACAGCGAGAAACGGCTTGGCGTTGCTTCGGCCGTTCGCGGAGATCGGGTTTGCCCTAACAGTCAAACCTAAATAACACGAACAACTCTAAACCCTGAAACCCCGACCCTACACTAGGCGTCATAAGTTCAAAAGCCTCAAGGAACCACCCGTTTTTCCCGAAACCTTCCCCCTAAACCCTCCTAAGGCCTAGAACCTTATTTGCTCATTAAATTCAATCTCAGACCACATCATTCAAAATAAACATATAGCAACCAGTTTTCTCGTGAAGTTTTGGTCTTCGCTCCGTTAATTCAAAAGACTAAACAGCTCCGAAACCACACTGGCGAGCAACATATTTTCCTATAAACTTGAGCACAAAAAGCGTGAAGGTAAGCTTTGCCGATTGGTCGGTTGTTTTGGATTAATGCCTGCCTTTTTTGAATCATCCTAGATTTGGCTTGGATTGTCCAAACAGTTCGCATAATACTGCAAAAATCATACACCAGAGTATACAACAATACACTGGCGAAAAAGAGCTTGTGTGCTAATCTTCGCCAATCCTAGATTCAGTCGTTTTTGGAAAGCGTGGACGATTGAAAACATGCCTCACACTAGAAAATGTCATGACAAAACATGTTAAAAACACCCATGTGATATGAGCAAGAAATTTTCAGCAAGAATCATGGTTTCCCGACTAGCTTTTCATCGCGATGGTAGTCCGGCCGGCCAAGGCCAAAACCAGTCACCTATCCGAGCCAACGTTTGTCGGTCCTAATTAGGCCGCCCAAGTTGTAACTACAATCAGGAGTCTGAACGCAACTACCGCCTTCATTACAATGTGTCATTTCATGTCGTGCCAGGTGGGTGCACGCAATAATCCAAGATGCGTAGACACGTTTCGCACGATGTCTGATTGCCTTGAAGTACAGTAGTTAACCTTTGACCTTTTTGGGTAGTATAGTCCCTATATAATCCCTATCTAACAAAAAAGGTTAACCTTTATTTAGTTTCCCATTATCCCCGACAAGTAGGATTGTATTTGCCCTGCAATACAGTAGTTGGCCAAAACCGGTCGAAACTCCCTTGCAGCTCCATTGGGTAAAGAATGACCGGGATCTTATTTCGTACCTGGACCCTAAGGAACCTACCCTTTTTAGGGCTCCGTATTGTGATTTCCTTCTAGACGTTCTTAAAAAAGGTAGGTTATTCCGGGTGAAGGTAATTTCTGAAGAGTAAACCCGAAACCCTACAGCAAACTTCAGAACACCATGGTAGGTAGCGCTCAAAAAACGTGGTTTCGACTTAGGGTTGCTATATGCCACAGATGCTGGCTTCTCTGCCCTGCACGACGCGGCTTTTGAAGGCCCCGGCATGACTGCTTGACTGACGATTCACGCCGGACTTCACAATACCATAGGATATGAGGTCTGCTCCGACATATGAGCAGTTAGTTATGGTGTATGAACACCCCTGACATTCATAGGTAGTTGTAGCCACAAGCAGGACTCTACTGAGTCCTGAACACTTTCGTGTTTAATGTAGGAACCTGATTAAGAAACCCTGGGCCTACAGCCGCAAAATAGTAGGATTCATATAAGGAACCCTAATAAGGGCCCAGGTTTCTTCATCAGGTACATTAGGGTCCCCAGTTCTTGCTTGCCTTTGGCGGGGTGTGCGGCGGGTATTCGCTCCCACAGATGTACCCTAAGGGTCCAAAGGACCCAGTAATTAGGCACTCGGTTCTAGGATAGTAGTTATGTAGGTTAGTATGTGGGAGAATATATGATTAGTAGGTACTTGGACTGTTAGGGGTAATGCAGGGATCGGAATAACTAGAATCAGTATGTAGTCGAGTTGCACTCTAAGTCGAGAACACCATACATCCGAAAGCTGCAGAGAAGGGCAACTACACTTAATACAGGGGTTTGTAATTATCGCTTCTGTGCAGTATAGCAGTTATGATGTACCTAGGCAATATTCTACATCAGCTTATATAGGAGGTGGTGTATGTTTACATGCATGACCCTTGAAACGTGTCTGCGGACCACTATTCGAATACCCTACCCTAACCCAAATAGCCTACCTCTTTAAGGACCCATGCAAGGAAATCATGATAAAGAACCCCAAAAGTGTAGGTTCCTTATGATCCAGGTAGACACTATCCCTAAGGGCCCAAAGGACCCATAATTACGTACTCGGCTTTAGGATCGTAGTTATGTAGGCTAGGATTTTGGAGAGTATATGATTATTGGGTACTTCGGTTGATGATACAAATCCTGCATGACCCATAATAAGGAATATACTATAATTCCCATAGTTTAGGGTCCTTAAGGCAATGCAGGATTTATATCATCAACCGTTGGACTCTTGGGGTATTCTACAATCCTGAGGCTTCTTTACCATTATACACGGGTCGCTGGAGAACTGACTTCGGCGATCCTCTGAGGCTTCAGGGTTTGGCACTTTACCGCCGAAAGTGTTTCGACTCTAAGGCTTAAGGCTTAGGGTTTAGAGTTTAGGCTTTAGGGCTTAGGGGTTTAGGGTTTCGAGTTTAGGCTGTAGGGCTTGGGGGCTCAGGATCCAGGGTTTAGAGTTTAGGCTTTAGGGCTTTAGAAAAGGTTGAGAGTTTAGGTTTTTACTTAGAGGCTCATACCCTACCCCTTTCTTAGGATACCTAGTTTTAAGGTTAGGATCTGCTATCTTAAAAGTAGGCGCCCTAAAAAAGGGGTAGGGTATGAGCCTCTAGGTAGGGCTTAGAGTCTATGGCTTAGGGTTCCGGGCGGATGGGTTTTGGGTGCCGAGGGCCAGAGACATTTGGGGGGCCAATGCCTCACGTGTAGAGTTTTAGGAGATTCTAAATAATTACCTCTAGGGTTCCTTTAAGGGGCAACTACAACGGATCCATAAGGGTACTAGAATATAGGGGCCTCAATAAATACCTATATGTTTGCGGCTTCCTTATGGGCCCAAAAAACCCCATTCTAATTATTAAGGCTTCTATATTAACAGTTTCTCGAGTCTCAGCTGTGCGTGGTGCTGCGAGCTACAGTGTGGAGATCCTTACCCTACGGTTGATGATATAAATCCTGCATGACCCATAATAAGGAATATACTATAATCCCCATAGTTTGGGGCCCTTAAGGTCATGCAGGATTTATATCATCAACCCTACTTTCAGTTACTACTCCAGACGCAGCTCCGGACCCGAGCCGAGTTGTCCAAAGTGCATAAAGTCAAAGCCAGAAAGTAGGAATATGATTATCCTAAACCCTTCATGGTAAATTACAAGGTATCCTACCCTGAAACCATATTCCAACTTTGTGGAGTTCCCTATAATGCATCTTTCTGTAATCGGATTGCCGATGCTGTACAACAGTTGACAATTGCCTCCAGCGGTAAGCAAGCTCTCCAGTGCCCCTGATATACGGGTCATCCACTTACCCAAAAGCACTGTTTAAATGGTTAGAGCCCTAGAGGCCCAGTGACCTGTAAAGGTTACTGGGTCATGGGCCCCTATCGGCTTTGAGGAGCAGTAGCTCGCACAGCCCACTACCCAGAGATCCCAATACCCCTGAATTCAGGAATATATCTAAAATCATAATATTCAGGCCCCTACAATTTAAGGTATATTCCTTAATTACGGGTTTTGGGTTTTCTGGGTATGTATGCAATGGGTCATCTCGGGAAACTGGCAGACGAACGTACTTAGATTTCTGGATTCGAGCTCTCTCTTCCTTCCGCCTGCAAAAGTATGCCAACACTCAGAACGTTTTAGGGTTTTGGGTTCAGGTTTTAGGGACAACAAACACTCTGCATCGAGCAGCATGTAATTAACATTCACTTGCCAACATTTCTCAACCCCGCTGCAATGCGCGCCTGGTTGCTTTAGAGCATTTATCAGACGACGCCGTAAGGCAACCTAAAGAGCCCTTATTTTTCAGCCCTTAACAAAACCTGTAGCACCCTTCTAAGACCCCAAAACCCTTCTAAACCCAGTATATCAGTTTATACAGCCTTAATAACCCCTTCTAACTCCTTATAATGCCCTTACCTGGATCCCAAGAGCATGTAGAATAATTATGAGCTGTTCATAGGTTTTGGGCAATTATTTTAGTTACTTTTGGGGGGTCCTGGTACAGAGTCCCAACCACATCTTTGGACAAGGACATGGCTCCGTGGTCGCTGTTTTACTGGCTGCCCGCGCCGAGGTTCGGAGCAAAGTGCTGGAGCCATTGACAAGGTCGTATTTCCCAGAGATCCCTTAATATCCTTTTTAAAGGAATATGCTTTAAAATAGAATGGGGCCGTTGACATGGTTTAAGGTATATACTCCTTAATCAAGGGATATTGGTTGGAGTCCCTGAGTTTTTCCCCGAAAAAACCTCATCAAGGAATCCCTTATAGGAGCCCTAACAAGATTTCCCCCAAAGGAACCTTATTAAGTTATCCCTTGAAGGGTTGCGAAGGCCTAGGACGCTAGGGTTGGGGTTTAGGAAGAAGCCCTCTTCACCTAAACCCTAAACCCTAAACCCTAAACCCCTAAACCCCTAAACCCTAAACCCTAAACCCCCAAACCCCTAAACCCTAAACCTCTAAACCCCTAAACCCTAAACCCTAAACCCTTAACCCTAAACCCTAAACCCCTAAACCCCTAAACCCTAAACCCTAAACCCCTAAACCCCTAAACCCTAAACCCTAAACCCCTAAACCCTAAACCCTAAACACCTAAACCCCTAAACCCTAAACCCTAAACCCCTAAACCCCTAAACCCTAAACCCTAAACCCCTAAACCTCTCTACCTATAGTAATTTAAACCCTAATGGCTTCGTGGCTTTTGATCAAAACTCGTGGCTTTTGATCAAAACTCGTGGCCTTTTGATCAAAACTCGTGGCTTTTGATCAAAACTCGTGGTTTTTGATCAAAACTCGTGGCTTTTGATCAAAACTCGTGGCTTTTGATCAAAACTCGTGGCTTTTGATCAAATCTCGTGGCTTTTGATCAAAACTCGTGGCTTTTGATCAAAACTTGTGGCTTTTGATTAAAACTCGTGACTTTTGATCAAAACTCGTGGCTTTTGATCAAAACTCGTGGCTTTTGATTTTGACGTTTTTCCAGTGTTTAGCGGCCTCGGGTTTAGGGGCCCCTAAACCCCTAAACCCCTAAACCCCTAAACCCTAAACCCCTAAACCCTAAACCCTAAACCCCTAAACCCCTAAACCCCAAACCCTCAACCCCTAAACCCCTAAACCCTAAACCCCTAAACCCTAAAGTAAGGCTGCACAGGGATTGCAGGGCTAAGGCTCCTGGAAATGTGCCTACTTTTAAGCAAAAGCAGGCACTACAATGGATACTGTAGGTAGGCCCTAAATTTAGGGTTTAGGGGTTTAGGGTTTAGGGACTAAACCCTAAACCCTACTTTTCTTTTGGTTACCTGAAAGGATCCTAAGCCGGTTAAAACAAAAACAGACACTACAATGGATACTACAGGTAGGCCCTAAACCCAAAACCTTTAAAGAGCCCTTATAGACCTCTTACAAAACTCTTGTAGAACCCGTAAAGAACCCTGATAGAACTCTTATAGAACCCTGTCGGTACGAGGCTACCCTACCGCCCGCCACCCTCAATCCTAAACACTACTGCCACACCCCCCCCCCCGCACAAATACCAGGCCCGGTCAATCGACGGTAGGCTTTGCCCGAAAGCACCTGCCCTTCAAAATGTTTTATACAAGCACATTAGGGCTTCATGTAGCGTGAATAAGTATATATATATATATATATATATGTATGTATATACGTATATATATGGTTAGAACACTTGTATGACTATAAAGCTTACCTGTTGAAGGACGTCTGAAAGGAATTGGTAGTAGGGAGCCCTAAGGGTTTGGGTAGGCTTTGCCATGGTACGTTTAGTTGGCATGGCTTTTTGGGCAGGTTTGTCTGCAAAAGCAGTCTCCGTGGATTGGTTCATGCGACGTCAGATTTCACACATCTGGTTTCTCTTAATCTCCAGACTATATCCTGCACACCAACCTCTTCACAAGCATGACGTTCGACACGTGGATCCTGCCCCCTTGTTCCTCAGGGCTTTCGGTTTTTGTTGCTGTCTTGTAAGACCTTTGATCTCGGCAGGTTGACATTGCCGCCGCAGATGGCGTTCAGGGCCGAGCTGCGATGACTGTTCCCCAGAGAACCCAATACCCCTTAATTAAGGAATATACCTTAATTTATAGAGGCTTTACTATTATGATTTAAAGCATAATCCTGCATGAAGGGGTATTGGGTTCTCTGGGTCCTTCTACTTCAAAGCATCGCACCAAGTCACTAAAAGCCCAACCTCCTTGGCTGCTGAGGCCACGCCGCTGCATTTGGCCGCAATCGCAGGCAGGATTGAACTTTGTAAGAACAGGGGTCTTTGTAACGAGAAAGGGTTCTTGGTGTGCTTTGCAAATGAATGCATATACTCTGTCTTATACTTATTCATGTCTTTTTTCTTGGGTTGATTTTGTTACGTGTTAACTACAGAGACAGAGGTGACCTTCAAGGATATTGTTGCTGCTAAATAGTGAGACCTTTGTACAGGAGTCATACATCAGCAAGACTTAGTTGGCAGTACATATATATATATATATATATGTACATATATATACACACATATATATACATATATATATATATATATACATATGTATGTATGTACGTACGTATGTATGTATGTATGTGTGTGTGGGTATGAAACATGCGTATACAAACACGCGCACACACACACACGCCTGCATGTGGTATAACCTACTGTACGTACATACGGAGCATAAGGTATTCGGTTCGATTGTGTGCAGGCGCTGTACCACACCCCAGGCTCCAAGTACCCAAGAAATCATATACTCTCTCAGGATCCTAACCTGCATAACCACGATCCTAACACCGAGTACCTAATTATTGGCTCCTTCGGACGCTTGGGGCCAGGTCAGGTGGGGCGAATGATTTGCGTATGTCCGGGCTTTAGACCTTCACGGTTCAGGGCTTAGGGGCTTGAGGGTTTCAGTATTTTTGTTGTCGTTATACCTATAGTCTCCATTTTAGTTCCTTTTTCTGGTTAACCAAATTAAATATTATGGTAAGGATCCTATAATATAGGTTCTGGTTAACCAAAGAGACTTTAGGCAGGTTTCAGACATACCATAGACCCCGAAGCGTGAAATCCCCAGAACCTGAGAAACTGCAGAGCCCTTGGCCTCAGACCAAAAAAAGCTATTATTCTACATGCTTCTGGGGTCCAGGTACAGGTTCTTAAAGCGCAATCTGTCGGAAGCTTGTTGCCGTATTCATCGGTGTTTTTGAGTTGCCCAGTTGTTTGTGATCAAGCATGTCACCACTTGTCCGCTTGGGATTGGGGTGTAGAGTTTTAGGCTTTATAAGGTTTAGGGCTCACGGTCAGATGGTAGCGGCGCTTACTCAGCTGAGACAGCTCCGAATCGGTCTTGTGTTGGTCTGGCTGCTTCAAGCATTTCCCCAAGGGTCCAAGTACCAAACAATTAATCATATACTCTCCAAAACCTTAACCTGCATACCTACCATCCTAAAACCGAGTACCTAATTGTTGGGTCCTTTGGACCCTTGGGGATTGGCGTGGTGTGTCTACCTGAGCTATCGACCCCATAGCCTAACACGCTGAACACCCCTGCTGCCCGTGCACACGCATGAAAGGCCCAAAGGGTCCTAGGGTATGTTATGGGGAACACTTCCCCAAATCATAATACGGTTGATGATATAAATCCTGCATGGCCCATAATAAGGAATATACCGTAATTCCCATAGTTTAGGGTCCTTAAGGTAATGCAGGATTTATATCATCAACCGTAGTAATTCCTCATGCTCAGAAACCCCAGAGTCTACTATGTAGGTACTACTTTGGACCCCTTGAAAGGCATACCTCATCCCCAAATTCCACTTTGGGCGTGGAGGACTTAGTAAGAAGGCTTTCAGTACCCTTATCGGATAAATACCTCGTCTTGCAGCTCTGCATTGAACCCCGCCTAAGGCCTGAACCCTGAACCGTTGAACAGCGGCAGTTTTCAGGCCACGACCACATCGTCGCGCTTCTCGTTGAGGTAAGGCTCCTGTTCCGCCGCTGAACGGCCGTAGTGCAACAACCTCAGTAAGCAATACAGCAATCCCTAGTCCCTACTTCGTATTACGGCTGTTTGTGGAGCATCCTCTATCGGGAACTTAGAGAGACATTGTCTTGATCATCATTCTAGGCTGAACCCTGGCTCAAGCTCTGTCCAAAGTGATCCCTGCACCTTGCAACAGAAGGTAAAGTTTAAAAAGGTAGGCCCTGAACCCGAGAGGCTGCGTTTAGCTTCGTGTGTGTTTGTGTGTGTGTGTTGCCACTTTAATGTAGCTTGTGAAGGAAAGGAAACAAACCCACATCTTCTAAATTCCTTTAACTAAGAATATACTTTCAGTTTTCGAAGGTTCTATATTGCAGTTCAAGCTATACTGTTTGATTACGGGATTTTGGAAGGTACTGAGCCGCGCCCCTCAAAACCTTCGATCAAGCGGTACCGTGTTTACTTAGCGGCATCGAGAACAAAAGTTCGATGTTGTTCGTTCCCAAATGGTCCAAAGTACCTATATGGGAGAATTTCGGGTTTCTATATTAGGAATTACTATTATGATTTGGGGAAGTATCCCCCCATTACAGTACTTTGGACCCTTTGGGGTTTGCCCTGGGTTGCAGACGCAGGCTGATGCCGACACGGTGCGTACCGCTGGGCCACAGCAGGCCACCGGATGTTCCCTAAGTCCCCAACTCAGCCTTTGTCATAGTTGGGTAATATTTTACATGTTTATGGGTACTTAAACCCCAATAAGGAGTAAACATGTACATTTTTAATCAAATCATCCGCCTCACCTGACCTGTCCCCAAGGGTCCAAAGGACCAATAATGGATACTCGGTTTTAGGATGGTAGTTATGTAGGTTAGGATTTTGGAGAGTATATGATTATGAGGTACTTGGACCCTTGGGGCTAACTTAGCAGTAAGCTAAAACCAGCTAAACCTGGAAATGTGAGCTCCTCCAAAACTCTGAGTGTCAAGCCCTAAATAACATGAACTGAAACCTACAACTCCCACACCTATGAGCCCTAAGCCCGAAACCCACATGGGTGGTTGTCAAAATTAGGGTCCCCCTTTTGGGTACCCTAAATATGAGGTGCCGTATTATATGAAGGACCCAACAAGGGACCATGATTTTGACAACCACCTACATACCAGTCATATACCCTGTCAAGCCCTGAGGCGTCCGCCCAACACCCTCTTGAAATTGCCCACAAACTCCATGTACCGAAAACAGGCTCCTTGAAGGGTACCATAAGGATTCCTTAAAGGGTTCTATGGGGTTTAGGGTTTGCTGGTCCGTGTAAGGTACTTCGGACCCTTTGGGGGAGAAGGTGCAGCCCTGAATCCGCAACCGCAGGGTTTAGGGTTTGGGGTTCAGGGTTTACCCAGGCAACCAATGCCCCTTATTTGAGGATTATACCTTTAAATCATAATATTCAGGCCTCTATAACTTAAAGTATATTCCTTAATTAAGGGGTATTGCGTTCTCTGGGTAGGGTTTACAGTAAACCCCATAAAGTTGGAAACCGGATTAAGGCCAAATAGAGCTGGGATTCCCTATATATTATATACTCTTAAGGATTGAGGCTATTGGGTTTCCCACTGTCGGACTTCCGCTGTATGGGGTTTGGGGTTGAGGGTTCAGGAGCCTATGAATCCGTAGACCTCAAAAACCTACTCTTGAAAGCTTCAACCCTAAGGCTCAAAACCTCCCAAAAGCCATACGTAATGCGGAACGTCTGAAAATTTTTGTCCCTAGCCCCAAACCCAAAGCCTGAACCCAGAACCTTAGGGTAAGAGTTCAGAGCCGGCAAGCTGTGTGAGGCGACTGCACTTCATTTGGCGGCATCTTGGCACATGGGCTTGTGTCGTGGGGCTTTAGGGTTCAGGGTTTAGGGTCCAAAGACCTGTGTAAGACCTACGAGTTATTCCTTACATGCCAAACGCTAGGCATCTAAGCGCTGAACCTCTATGTTTTGCAAATTGATTGCGCGATTGTGTTTGGCATCCCACTGTAGCAAATTCCTTCTTCAACTGCAGAAGATTCGATGGGGACCGACCAAGGAGCCGCGATGTCTAGTCCTCGGCGACCCTAAATCCCGACCCCAAGTCCTTGGCAATCCACGTGTAAATCGAGACCCCGGATGTGGGGACAGTGGGAGACTCCAACAGCACGACTCGTACTTGAAGGTTCATGAACTGCCGTGGGGTCCAAAGCATGTAGCATGGGGGCCTTGACACTTGGAATGCGGCTTTGGGGTAGACTGCAATCTAACTACAGTAAGTAAGCAAACCCAGGAACTAGTACTGCTTCTCCCGCCCTCCAACATGATGTAACCTGTTAGAAACCCGCTATGAGGTAGGCCATCAACAACACCCGTTGGATTAATGCTGAATTCATCTATGTACATACATGCATATATCTATGTATGTATGTATGTATATATATATATATACATACATATATGTACACTCTTGTTGAACTGTATGCTGACACACTCATATATGTATGTGTATATATATATATACGTATATATATATATATATATATATATATATATACAATTATATAAATACATGACCACACAGACACTACTCGTAAGCTCAGTTCATTGATATGCATCGGCACGTATCGCTACCGGAAGTTTTGGGCCAAGTAGCCCTAAACTCACCCTGAACCCCAAAATCAGCGTGCAGTCCCAAACAGGCCATCAACAACAACAAAAAACCAACTAAAATCTCTAAAACTCGTTAAGGAGTCGGTGTTCGGATCCCCGAAATCCCAAACCACCGAGGCCAGCCGCGGTCATGTGTCGGTTCTCCGGGCTTTGCGCCAGGAAGCCCGGTCATGTCGGTTTCGGAGTATCTAAATATGTGTGTGTGTGTGTATACATATATATATATATACACTGTGTAAAAGTATGTATATGTGTAAATAGTTGTTCTTTGTGTGTATGTATATGTGTATATATGTATATATATGTATACACACATGCACACATACATGTATATATATATATATATGTATACCTATATCAATGTTGAATCAAACTAGCAGGATAAACAGACATATTCGCGTGTATACATATGTATGTATGTATGTATGTATGTATGGGTAGGTAGGTATGTATGTATGTATGTATGTGCGTATGTATGTATGAATGTATGTATGTATGTATGTGTGCGTATGTATGTATGTATGTATGCATGCATGCATGCATGCATGTATGTATGTATGTATGTGTATGTATACATAGGATATGCACGCGCGAACGATAGAGAATCGTATGTGCATATGCATGAATGAATGTATGTGTACATGCATGCGTGTGCGGTTGTACGTATGTATGTCTGTCCAAACCCAGAGCCACAAGTTTTAAATTGGAAAACCCTAGCACGAAAACGCCAAACCTTACGCCCTCAGAATGAACCGCATGAAAAGATGTGCAATCATGCCAAGATTGATTAGTTTCATGGTTCGGGGTTCCAGGGTTCATGCATTTCAGTTGTTTAGTGTTTATTTGAAGGGGGGAGTTTTGAGGTTTGCAATGTGAGGCGTTGGCAGCTTAGGGTCAGTCGTTTTAGAGTTTTGTAGATGTAGGGTGTAAGGCTCTTCGGGGTTCATTCCTTCAGTCTTTGGGGTCTTTAGTTCAGACTCGCGTTTGGCTTTTAGGCTTTGGGGCTTTGGGTTCACAGAGGGTCCAGGATTCCACAGACATGGGCAGGGCTAAGACACGTGTAGGCCGTCCGTAATTATGCCGCAATATCTTAAACTTCGATCTGCAAACCCTGAGTTCGAGGACTAAACTCCAAATTGACCTCAAACCCCTCAGGGAACTCTCTAGGACCTAGGAATTTCATAGAGCCCTTCTTCTACTCCATTGTAGAACCCTTAAACAGCCTTTCTAGAACCCGGATAGAACCCCGGACACAACCCGTACAGAAACCCAACACAACCCGTGTGGTTGTCGAGGAATCCTCAAGCCGAAAATCCTTAGAACCTGCGCAGGCATAAAGCTTGTATAGAAACTTTGTAAAACCTTATGGACCCCTAATAGAGACCTTCGTAGAGCCCTTGCAGAACCTATATAAGCACCCCAATACGACCCTTGTGTTCCCAAAAATTCCTTGTTCGAACTCTCTTTGAACCCATGTAGAACCCCGAAACATCCCTCTGCCGAGGTCAACAGAAGGTGCAAGGCGGTTCTCGCGACCCGAGTCAAGCTGCCCCAAAAATATGAGGTAACTGAGTGAGGCATCCAAAGGCTTAGGATTTGATAATAGGGTTCTTTTTAAAGGGGTCTATAAGGCACTATAAGGGATCTATAAGAGTACTATGATATTATGAGGTGTGATGTGATGTGATCTGGCCTTTATAATTATAATAGTAATTTGTTTTTTTTTGTTTTTTTTGGGGGGTAATAATAGTTACTATACCCCCACACCCTAGTCTAACTCTTCAGGCGCCTTACATTATAGGCTCGCGAGCGCAAGGACCATCGTAAGAAAGGATTTGGGTTGTTTTATGAGCCTCGGGGATGGTATAATGCTTGCTTGCTTGTAATGCTTGTTCCGGAAACACGCTCAAACTCGTCAGAAGAGTGTGAGGGCACGTGGATGGGTTGCGCGCTACCTTCAGTAGAAAACTGACAGGTCGTTGCAACGCATCATTGTTTTGGCACAGGATCACAGGCTCTCCAGGTAGCACAGTATTGTATGCCTTACCACAAAGCCTACAAAGCGCACCCTGAGGACGTCAACCTCAGTGTTAGTGCTGGAGTGGAAAAGCAGCATGACGAACTCATAGTCAGAGCAGCCAACAGGCAGGCACTCCGTCAGACCACTTTCTTCCAAGTGTGGCCGGGTGGCAGGGCAGTACTTCAAACAGTGCGTTACGGTGGCATCCTCCGCTTGGCACAGGGGGCACCTAGGGAAGGCTACAATATTTTGCAGGTCCTGCGATCCTGCAACCAGCTGTAGCGGCCACAAGCCCGTGAGGCGAACGAAGGCCCACAGTTGGACAGCACCCCACAAACTAAACGGAGCCGCGCGAAGCAGCCCAGCCCAACCCTGATCAAGCCGCAGGGGACACAAATCAGAATAGCAGACCCCCAGGCTTGGAAGGTCCTTAGCGGCGGCTGTTTGGAACTCTTTGTTGTCCAAACCAATGAAAAAGGGTGCCACCACATGCTTTTTGTAAGCTGCCAAAATACTCTTCCGGATCGATTTGTCCATTCTGGCTGCAAGCACTTCTTCCTGATTGCAAACTCCAGAATCTTGCAATAGCGGCAAGTCCCCATGTTGTCTTCGGAGATCCTGCACCGCATGCAGCCATGTGCCAGACACCAACGTCTGGGCAAGGGCTGTCATACGAGCAACGGGATGCTCAAGAGGCAGCAGGTGGATTTTGGCCAGATAGACAAGAGCGCGGATCTTTGCCTTTGACGCAAGCCGGAGGCTCCATCCCACCGTTGCCACTGCCAAGACACCCCTAATAGCCGCACCAGCCTTATCTGCCAGGATGGATTTAGCCCAAGACGCTTGCAGTGTGTTAAGTTTCCCGTAGATGTCCGGCACAAGAGGTAACAGTTCAGCGGCATATAACATCACCGGCTCGATGCGCTCGATGACAGCAATGGAGAGTACTGGCGGCGGAAAGCCTGCTTGGCCTGCCACGCCTTTAAGTTCGGTGAACAAGCCCTGCCCGGCGCGACATATGAAATCGGCCCTGGCTTTGAAGGAAAAATCTCTCTCCAATTGGACCCCTAACAGCTTGTAGTTCTCACACATAATGCTGCGAAGCGGCACATCTGGGGCACTGAAGCACGGCATGATAGCAGTCTTCGTAGGCCCCATATTGAACTCAGCTTTAACAGCAGTAGCGTAGGCCTGCAAACCCTCCGTAGCGGCATGGCAGACAGTGACTTCAGACGCAAAAGAAGCAACCACATCATCCACAAACAGTAGGGCCCCCAGTGGGGAGTGACCAAGGAGCTCCACCACATGCTGGCGCTCACTGACATCACGAAGGCGAGCAATATCATGAATGGCTACTCTTCTGCAGAACGCGAGGTCAACACCCTCATCACGGAGCGAGCGCAATCTCAAAACAATTTGAGGCGCAGAATAGCAAGGGCTCAATCTGCAGATCTCGGGGACTGGCGTGAGGCCCGTCCAAAGGCCCGACACTGCTTCTGCTGCATATGGGGGCAGGATAGTCATGGCAGGGACGCAAAACGACGTCAACACTTCGCGAAGAAGATTCATGAGTGCAGTGAAAACATGTTCAGCGAAGCGCTTACCTTGCGGGATACCAGCACGAAACTTGACAGCATCAGAGATCAGCCCACTGAGAGACACCGTAGCAGAATCCATGTGAATAAAATCCCAGAGCAAATTCCATTCAACACCTACAACACCCGCGCAATAGGAAGCCGCCAATAGGGCATCGTGGCCAGCTGTATCATATGCAGCCTGCAGGTCTGCAAAAAGCAGGTATGTCTTCAGGTCTTGCATGTGCCTGATTTGGACATGAAGCACAACTGCCAACACCACAGACATTGTGTCAAACTTACCACCAAGTTGATTACAGCCAGTGAAATTTTCCAACACTGGTTGGCACCGACCTAGCCACAAAGCGTCTTGGACAGTCGCAATATCCGAAGCGATGCTGATAGGCCGAAGGTTTACAATCTTCCTAACCACTTTAGGTCCCTTCTTACGCAAAGGCGTAATACGCCTGACACACCAAAGGGAAGAAGTCAGCTCGCAAACCCTTGCCAGGTTGACTAAAGCAAAGGTCAATGCACGAGCGGCGGGAGCAGCAGCTTTCACTGCTGCCAATGGTCCATATGCGCTTTGCTTCTTGACTTTGATGTTGGCCAAAACAGCTTCAAACTCAGACCAACTATACAGTGCAGTGTTTGTGCCAGTGTTGACTGTCGGGACAACCATGATGCCGGGAATGCCCCGGGCGGGTGCACCAAACCGGCGAATGGCAACCACGGTGTCGCGTAGCGCCTGTGCCGACCCAGGATCCTGTGGGAAATCGTTGTCTGCTCTATCGATCAAATCCTGCTGTATTTCCAACAAAGCCTCCTGTGTACTGAGCAACTGGTCGGAGTCTTCATCTGTAAGATGGATATGAAAATCGTTGGGCTTCTTAAACCAGGAAGAAAGGAACCTCTTGCTTTCATTGGGGTTGGACGCCAGCAGTGACAAGAACTTGTTGACACATCTTCGTTTCGTGGCTGCATCAAATTCAGCAACAGCATGCTTATAATCATCGTAAGAAGCGAAATTTTGAACCTGTGGGAAATTTGCCGTCCAAGGTTGCTCTTTCTGGGCTCCTTTCCTGGCGTACACTAAGCCTGCGCAATGGCCAAGGATACAAATGAAAACTTCGCGAATCCAAGCTCCCGCATCCAAAACGGCACGCTTGCGTTTGATCGGCATGTTATGGCCAAACTCATCAATCTCATTCTGGGCTTCAGATATGACGCAGACAGCCAAAGCAAAAGCCGAGCTAGCATCTTCACAAACGGTATCCCACTCGGACGACAGTGCCCACATGACTCGGCCCACAGATGTAGGAAACGAAGCCTGGAGCCTTGCAGGGCACCTGGCAATAACCAAAAAATGATCAGACAAACCCACAGATTCCTCGATAACTTCGACCGGGACATTCGCATCACCTGCCCCGAGCACCAGATCAATAGTTGTGCCGCTTACATGCGTGGGTTTAGGCGGGTTGTAACAGACGAGGCCCGCGGCAACAATTCGTCTTTCAATTTCTCTGTCCACGGAGCTCTGGCGGCAGTGTACACAACGACACTCTGCCTGGTGAGAGACCACCGTCTCTAGGTGTATGTTGGCATCCCCTGCGATCAAGATACGAGTTCCTGGGTAGCACGTCTTTAGATGCTGGTATTCATCCAAGATCTGCTGCCATGTTTCCAGGTCGCCTCCTGGCTTGGGGTAGATCGCTCCCAGAATGACAGCTGGCCCCTGTGTGCGGTCACTACCGCGGACTAGTAACCACAAAATCACTGAGGACCCCAACTGTTCAATACATGAGACTTCCGTGTCCAACTCAGTAGCCACCAGGACCCCAACTGCTCCCCAGGAAGACGTTTGCACGCCCAGCCACTTGAAGGGAATTCCAGGTGGCAGTGTGCTACCAGGTGGCCATCTCGCCCCCGGCAAAACACAAATCTGGATATTTCGCTCTACCAACACAGAACAAATATGAAACAAACGCCACCACAAAATGTCTTCACCGGCAACTGTGGAGAGCCCAATTCTTCCAGGGTTGAGAATTGCGAATGTTAATGATTCACTCACCACACTAGGCAGCGAGTCGCTATGATCGTGCAGCGGCACACCTCCAAAATAAGGCGAGACCACCCGAGACACTTTACGCACGCAAGACTTTGCAGTCGGTATCAATGTATCATGCAGAAATCCTTTCAGGCTCGCAACAAAGCTCGCAAGGGGCTGCAGGCGTGCGAACCGCCTGCGCCCATCTGTCGCTAAGTTGCCAGGATTCTGGGGCGCCAACTCATAAAGGCCCTGGAAGTCTTTGAGAGCTGCATTAAGCTCCAATTGCTTGGGATTCTGGGCCAACCACGCAGTCGCCACAGCGCTTAACTCATCTATACATACTTTCACGTGCTGCTCGCCTGGCACATCCATGGTCCCTAAACCCAAGAGTCACAACCAGCACCAAAGGGGGCTTGGGCGGAAGCAACGGCGAAGCAAAGGCAACAGATTAAGCAACCTGGGCGACAGATCCTCTATGGAACATGCAACAAACATAAACAGGCACACTACAGCTACAAGGCTCGAAAGCGCGGGCCGACAGGCCACCCAAGGCACGATAAAAGCAAGAGCCCAAGGCACGAGCTTCAAGGCTATCCGAGGCACGACAAACGGGCCACAACGCCAGCCGAGGGGCCACTGACCAAGGATTGGCAAAAGAAAAAAAAAAACTCACACATGAGGCGAAGGCACGGGCCGAGAGGCTACCCAAGGCACACACACACACAAATACATAAATAATAAAAACAAAAATAGAATAATAATCCCAGGCACGGCCCGCAAAGCCACTCAAGGCACGAAAGTGCCAACCGAGAGGCCGCCACCTGCACCGCAAGAGCCGAGAGGCTATCCAAGGCGCAAAAGCACGGGCCGAGGGGCCA